TTTGAATTATCATTTCTAAATGATAAAGAAACAACATTTTATATTTTACTAGGCAATGTCAAATTGCTCTACCTAGTGGCTATCCTAATTAACCTATGTACTAACAGGAGTTTCTGTTTCTCCACACCTCCAGGTGCATTAGATAATGTCAACTTTTCAGTTGTTGGCAATTTGGTAAAATGATTTATCTCCTTTTATTTTATTATTGCAGTTGTTGTTGTTGTTGTTGTTATTGTATGACCTGTTTACTGGTGAAGTCAAGTACTTTTTCACTGATTTATTTCTTTTGTAGGTTTCAGTTTTCTGAATTACCGTTATATCTTTTGCCCATTGTTTTCAGTTAGATTGCTTTCTTTTTCTACCGATTTTTAAAAGTTCTTTAAATGTTTGGTATAATTATATGTCTATTGTATTGTTGCAAATAACTTATTTCAGCACACTACCTCCATTTATTATGTTTTTTTAATATTTGAAAAAAATTAAATGTAATCAAATTTATTGATCTTTTCCATTATAATTTGTGCCTTTATGTACTATTTAAGTAATTCATGTATTTTCATATAATTCATGTAAGATCATATTTTCTTATCATTGTTTTCTTTACTTTTCACTTTTATTTGTTTTGGCCATTTAGAATATTGTGTTGTTATTGTAAGACAGAGAACTTTTTTAAAAAAGAAATCCACTTGTTTGCCACCATTTTCCCCATTCAGTTGGAATCCTCTTCTCACATATGCTAAGTTACAATGTAAGGATAGATGTCTTTCTAAACTCTTCATCTGGTCCATTTATTTATTTGTACATTTCTATGCCAATGTTAGATTGTTTTAATTACTAAAGCTTTACACTTAGGATAATTACTAAGGCAAGTCTCCGTGTACTTACTCAACTTTTTTCAAAATTATCTTGGGTATATTTATAGAGTGAAACTTCAGTATTCATTGTAGAATAAATCTGTCAGGTTCTGTCAAATACTGTTAATTTAAATTGGGAATGCATTGAAATTAAAGAAAATTAGAGGTATATTTTCATAGCTCCTGCACTGATCATTCCCACCTATTTACTGGTATATTTATCCATTTATTCAGATCTTGTTGTGTGTATATCAATGAAGCTTCAGATTTGCATCAAAAAGATAATGAATCTGTTTTCTTAAATAAAACCTTAGGAACTTTATAATTTTTTGAGTGTACTGTAAATGGAAATTTTTTTTTCTAGTAAGTTTTCTTATTATTTATTGATCTTACATCCCTTTTCAAACCTTGTACCTCTTATTTCCTATTAGTTCTATTAGCTTGGCCATCAATTCTAGAATTTTCCATGTAGATAATATTTTCTAGGGAAAAAATCATTAAAATTATATCTCTTCTTTTTTAATAGTCACGTATCTTACTTTTTTTTTTTTTTTTAGAAATAGGGAAGTCTTAAGTAACGATCTCTAGCAAAATGTTCAATGTTGACTGAGTTGGTAGAAATTCTATACTCATTTAAGATTTTTAATAAGAGTGGCTCTAAACTTTGACATTAATTATATCCTACCATTTACCATCTAAGCTGAGACACTTGTGAGAGTAAAAGAGACCCAAGGATGACAGGCATAAACCAGGACCCTACTGATTAAGCAGTTAAAAAGCAACAGACATATAAAACTCAGTACTCGCAAGCTGCAGAATATATATTTTTCCAAGTTCTATAAAATAATTTACAAAATTGACCATAACTGTGGCCATGAAACAAGTTCTAACAAATGTCAGTCAAGAACAGTCAGAATGTTATTTGACCACAAACAATGAAGTGAGAAATATCAAAAAGATAACTAAAAAGTTCCCAAATTTATAAAATAAAAAGTGTATTTCTAAATAAACCTTTAATGAGAATAAAATAAAAAATAGAAATTAGAAAATACTTTGAACTAAATGAAAATACTACATTTCAAATCTTGTAGGATGCGGCTAAATAGCATTAAAAGGAAAATTTATAAATTTAAATAAATATTTAAGAAAGGGAAAAAGGTTAAAAAAACTAAATGAGCTAAGCATCCATCTGAGGAAGTCAGAAAAAAGTAATGCAAAGAAGGAAAAAGAAGAGAAATAATAAAAGACCGGAAACTGATGAAATATAAAGCCAATATAAAATATGATGAACAAAACCAAAAGTTGGGCTTTTCAAAAAAAGTCTAGTAAAATTTAAAAGACTTGTGAAAATGGGAAAGAACAAAAATAGAAGGCACAACTAACCAATATCAATAAAGATAAAGAAGTCATCACTACAGATGCTGCAGACATAAAAGAGACAACAAAGAAGTATGAACAACTTTATGCCAATACAGTTTAACATTTCAATGAAGTAAATAAATTCTTAGAAAAATGTAACAGTGATACTGACAAAAGAATAAACAGAACAATAAATATATCCATAACCCTCAAGGACACTGAAGCAATAGGTAAAACTCTTCCCAGAAAATATACTCTAGGCCCAGATGGCCACACCAAGAAATTTTAGTAAACATTCAAGAAAGATATACTTCCAATCTTAGATAAATTTTCTCAGAGAATAGAAAAAGAAAGAATACTTCCCAACTCATTTTATGGTACAAATTCCCAACAAGGATACTATCAGAAAAGTAAATAGGTCAATCTTGCTTATGAACATAGATGAAAAAATCCTAAATAAAATCTGAGCAAATTGATTCCAGCAATATATACATCATGACCTAGATGGGTTTATTCCAGTAATCAAAGGATGAAACTTTAAAAAATAATAGTATAATAGCACATATTAACAAACTAAAGAGAATCTCATTAGATGCAGAGAAAGTATTTGATAAAATTCATTAATTCATCATCCTTTCAGCAAATTAAAAATAGTAGGCAAAAATCTTAATATAATAAAGTGCATCTATCCAAAACCTTCAGCCAAATCATACTTAATAATGAAAGTTATAAGTTTCCCCTTGCAGATCAGGAAAAAGACAAGGAAGCTTGCTATCAGCATTTTTATTCAACATTGTCTTGGAAGTCCTAACCAACATAAGGAGGCAAGGAAAACAGAAAAGGAAGAAACAAAGCTGTCATTATTGGCAGATGACATGACTGTACACACGACAAAATCCAAAAGATCTCTGAATAGACCATTTGAATTAATAAGAGAGCTTAGCAAGTTCTCTGAATTTAAAATAGCTACATATAAAAAATCAATAATATTTCTATACACCAGCAACAATGAGACAACCAAAATTTAAGGAAGATGCCATTTATAATAGCATAAGCATTAAGTAACAAGACTAATGCTAACAAAAATTTGCAAAATTTCTATGAAGACAACAATATGAATGTACTTAGAGAAGCATATTAATATAAACTAAAGACATCCTAAACAAATGGAAAGATATAACCTGTTAATAGATTTGAAGACTTAGTATTGTAAAAATGTCATTATATTTTTAAGAATGTCTTCTTAATCTGTAAATTAAATGTTATCACAATTAAAATTCCAAAAGTATTGTTGTGGAACTTGACAATTGGCTCCTGAATTTTATAGTAAAGTCCAAAGGGCCAAGAATAGCAAAGTCACTCTTACAAAAGAGGAACAAGGTAAGAATATCTGCTCCATCGGATTTCAAGGCCTCTTTTCCAGCATGCCATGCACAAAAATGAATTTCATGTGAAGCAATGAAACCTTTAGAAGATAATACCTGAGAATATAATTATGACTTCCGGAGTGGGGACATTCATAATCAAGAAATACCATGCATTAAGCAAAAAGGAAAAGAATGATAATCTGAAGCACTCTAAAATTAAAGATTGTTGTATATCAAAATACACCAAAAAGAGAAGCAGAGAAGTGGCGAATTGTATATGCAGCACAAGTAAGTGACAGAGAACTATGCCTAAATTTAAGAAATCATAGAAATCCATAAAGAAAAGATGATTCAATAGAAAGATTTAAACAGATACCTCACAGACGAAGAAATCCAAATGGACAATTAACATGTGAATAAATAATCAGAGAAATGCAAACTGAGACCTCACTGATATATCACTATACATCCACCAAATGAGTTAAAATTGAAAAGCTGGACAATATCAAGTGTGGTGAGATTATAGAACAAGAACTCTCATCCTGTTGATGAAATATATATATATGAAAAATGCACACACATGCATCTCTGCACATTTACAAAAATGTTCATTGTGGCATTATTTGCAATATCACTACAATGAAAAGATAATTACTAGAACTAACAAGTTACAGTGTGTATTTTTATACAATGAAACTCTAAATAGTATATCAGAGCTACAGATAGCACACATTAAGTGGGAGGAATAAAGCAAAAACACAAAGGAATACATATTCATTTACATAAACACTTTGAATGTTTATATAAAATTCAAAAATTGACAAGACTATTATCATTTAGAAATGCACACATTGGGCCAGGTGGAGCGGCTCACACCTTTAATCTGAGCACTTTGGAAGGCCGAGGCAGGTGGATCACTTGAGGTCAGGAGTTCGAGACCAGCCTGGCCAACATGGTGAAACTCCATCTTTACTAAAAATACAAAAATTAGCCAGGCGTGGTGGCACACACCTATAATCCCAGCTACTCGGTTAGCCGAGGGAGGAGAATCCATTGAGCCTGGGAGAAGGAGGTTGCAGTGAGCTGAGACTGCGCCACCGCACTCCAGCCTGGGCAACAGAGTGAGACTCCATCTCAAAATAAATAAATAAATAAAAATAAAAAAAGAAATGCATACATTGGCATTTGTTGAAATTTTTGGGGGGCTTTATACATCATTACTTTTTGTAAATATTCAATGTTTATTGAAAATAATATATAATCTGCTCCGATTACAGTGAACTTTTTACATGCACATATAAATAAGCATACATATATAATGTACATATATATGTATACACATATAACTTATATAGTAGATCAATGTTGTTGTTTGCTTGATCTACTAATCTGAGAGAAATTTATCTTAAAAAATTCCCACCATGATTGTAGATTTGTCACTTTTCCTTTTTGCTTCATATTTTCTCAAGTTATGTTGTCAGCTGCATACGTGTCCCTGATAGTAATTTTCCTAGTGGATTTTTCTTCGTAATGTAATAAATGCACTTCTTTGTCCCCATTAGTGTTATTCAACCTAAAGAATACTTTTGCTAACTAATTTTGCTACATCAAGGTTTCTAAATTAGAATTTGCCTGGCATGTCTTTTTCTATTTCTTTATTTTCTGTATTTTAGTTTTTTAGTTTTAACTATTTTTGATACGTTTGATTTTAATTGTCTTCCTAGTAGTACACTGGTCAGCGGGTGAGGTATTTATGTGATTAGATTAGATGAGAGGTGGTTAACTTATGATATTATCCAGTAACCTGGCCTGGACCATCAGCAAGTGATATTTCATTTTGAGGCTGTCTCCAGGAAACGATCTAAGCCTTAGAATGTCTTCACTTAAAAATGAAGATTTTGTTGGTAGAGGGCTAGCTACTTTATTTTTATATTCTCACTTGTCAAAACATCAAAGAAAGCATTTCATATTAGAAAATGTGTCATTTTCAGGTTAAAAATTTAATGTAGATTTCATTATTTATATTACTTTATTTTAAAATGTAATTTCTGACATGTGGGCATTGGTTTTTTTCGTATTCCTATTTAAAAGCCACAAATAAACATTTTTAAGCAAAATGTTCACATTTTGTGGGCTAATAACGTGGTGAATGAGAGTTTAGTAGAATTGGAGAGAGTGATTCAATTAGAAGAGATGGAGAGAGCTGGATTAGAGTTGTGATTGGATTAGGGCTGATTTAATTAGGATTTTGATGGTACATATAAAGCCTGATCTCATATGATTTTTTCATTTAGAGATTCTCTCCCGAAAGAAAAGCGTATTTCTGGGTCTTATCATATCTTCATTTGAAATCAAGATTTCAGACTAGTGCAATGTAAGTTATTTTTTTCCTTTAAAATATAAAATACATTAAGGCAATAACTTTTTACAACAGAACATAATTTTTTCCTCTTAAAACTAATTCATTCATTCATTCGCTCATCCATTCATTCTTTTATTCACTCATATGGAAACTGTTTATTGGGTAGCTATCGGTGCCAGGCATTGTTTTAATGCTTGGCCTATATTACTGAGCAAAACAAAGATCCGTGCCCTTTTAGAACTTACATTCTACATGGAAGAAGTAGAGAAAGAGACAATAAATGTAACATAACTAAATTATTTCGGGTCATGGAAGATGATACATGGCATGTAATTATGTATAATATAATTTTTAAAAATAAAAAGAAAGCAGGGGAAGTGAGATATGGAGTACAGAATGTTAGGGGACAGAGAGGGAGAACAGTTGCAATTTTAAGTAGAGATGCCCAAGGTCGGTTGGCCTCCATTTGAACAAAGACTTGAATAAGACAGGGAAGAATAGCCTTGGCAGGAGAAAATAGCTAGTGTGAGGGCCCTAAGGCAGGAGCAGCTGTGTGTGTGTCCAAGCAACAATAGGAAGGAGGTAGCCATGAAAAGCATGAGCAAGTTATGAGGTCAAAGAGGCAGGGGAAAGGATAGACCACAGAAAACTTTGGAAACCATTGTGAACGCCTTGGCTTTTACTGTGAGGGTAATGGGGGACCAATGTCCCCTGCTGTCTAACTGGATCCCCTTTTCTCTCAATCCCATCCAACTATGTCATTTAATTTTTTAATTGTTGCCAATCTGATGCTGTAACGTGATAATCCATTTTTAGTTTACTTTCATTTTCCTCATTAAAAGGTTGAGTGTCTTTCATGTTTATTGACTATTGTCTATTTGAAATTGCTTTTTCAGAATGGCCTGTTTATATCTTTTGTCCATTTTTTAATTGGGTAATTTGTGATTTTTATGTGTATCATTAAATACTTACTATCATTTGGTAATAGCAGTAATCCTTTATATGTTATAGGAATTACAAAATTTGCTAATCTAGCATTTATTGACTTGTTTTTGGCATCTTCTGCTATGAAATTAATTTTTGGATAGATGAATTTTTAAAAGTATTTCTTTTAAAGCTCTTAAGGTGTTCTGCTTTGATTGAAAGGTCTTTCCAAATTCTAGGTTCTATAAATAGTTTCTTAAACTTTCTTCTTAGGTTTTTATGGCTTCTATTTTCCCTTTTAGGTGTCGATTTTTGTTTAAGCTTGAAACTGGAATTTCTGTGTTACTCCTGCCATAAGAAAATACGTTTTGCAATAAAGGGCCAAACTACATCCCTTTCACATTTAATTAAATGCTGCCTTTGGCATATTAAAATGAAAGAGCCTTTTTTAAGGTTAAGATATACTATACCATGTCGAAAAGCTGATAAAAATGATCTGAAAGGGATGGTCTCATAGATCATAAGAAACAGAAAATATAGAGCAAAATGCCAGTCACTAAGAAATCTGGAGGAATTAGGGCCCAGAGCACAAGGGACAATGTGGGTCACCTCATCTCCATGGGAATCTGAGGAAACAGGAATAGCCAAAGGCAGCTCAATAGATCTGCAGAAAGAGGAGATAAGAAGTCTTTGTTTAAGAGCTTCTATTTTCTCAGAGAACTGAGATCTACTACCAGGAAAGAGAATGGGGAGGGAAAAGGAGTAAAAGAGTCATGTAGACTTGAAGAAAGGGGAATGTGGGAAATTATATTATTGCAGAGGGGGAAAATAAACAATTAGGAGAGGGTAAGAGGACTGGCAGGCAGAATTAAGAGCCATACTAAATTTTGTGGTAACAGGTTTAAAATAAGAATTCTTGGGAGGTTATAAGATTTTTGCCAGCTAGGTTAACTGACTGGATGAATTTCAAGATTTTAGTAAACTTAAGTTTCCTTTTCTTAATACTTTCAAACCATTTAAGTCAAAAGCTTTAGTTTCATTTTCTTATTAGCACTTTCAGACCATTTAAGTCAAAAGCTTTTAATTTTGTGGATTGACTATACTGTATATTGGTGTTAATGAAATTATAGGGTGGTTATTTGATCACCACTGGCAACCAAAAGATTGAGTTAGTGGGCTGGGAGTTAAATCCATTAAGGTGATTCACTCCAGGCTAATGAGGGCAGTTAGAACATAAAAACTGTGGGTATTTCCTATAATTGTGTCACCATCTCACCATTGTTACTTCATTCCTCTACTTGATAGTGCATCATCCATTCATTCATTCATTCATTCAACAAATACTTACTCAGCACCTATTATGTGCCAGGCACTGTTCTATATGCAGAGGATACACCCAGTGAACAAGAGAGACAAGGTTCCTGCTTTCCTGGAACTTATGTTCTAATATAGGAAGATAGACAATAATAATAAAAATAATATTAATAACCATAATAGCTAACATTTATTTAGCAAGTACTATTTGCTGAGACAGTTCTAAGCACTTTACAAGTATTAATTCACTTAATCCTTAGACTAGTATTATAAGTTAGGTACTAGAATTACGCCCATTTTACAGATGAGGAAACTGAGGGCACAGAAAGGGAAAATGACTTGCCTAAGGTTAGAGCTAGGAAAGGGCAGAATTGGAATTTAGAACAAAAATGGGCAGGCTGAAAATCCTTTTCTCTTAATGACTTTCCTATGCTGTCTCTCAGACAAGAAACATGGAAGTAAAAAATGAATAGATTAGATTCTGGTAATGTTCAGTGGTATGAAAAAATGAAACAGGGTGATGTGATGGTGTACAAACACAAGTGTTGGAGGGGTGGGGGTAGGAAAACTTCACTGTGATACCTGAGACATGAAGGATGGTGATACAGTTATCTTGGGGCACAGGCAACAGAGAAAAGCTAGTGCAAAGGCCCTAAAATAGAAGGAATCTTGCCCTGTTTCGTAAAACAGAAATGCCCAGTTGGCTGTGTCTAGAGCTTAGTGTGTAAGCGAGTGACTGATTGGAAGTGAAGTCTGGAAGTTAGGCAGGAGCCAGACTCCGTGGCGTCTCAGGTCACATTAAGAAATGTGATTTTTATCCTAAGTGCAGTGAAATTTTACACAGGATAGTAACACCATGTGATTAATTTTAAAAGATCACTCTCTTGGCTATATGCAGCATTGACTGTAGGATAAAAGATGACGCAGGAAGATACAATAGGAAACAATTACAATCCAGGTAGGAGATGGTGTTGGCCAGGACAAGGGTAATGGCAGTAGAATAAAATTTCGGGTAAGTTTTAAAAGTAGAATTGGTAAGACCTGTAAATGAACCGTATGTGAAAAGTGAAAGAAAAGGAATTTAAGTAGGCACTCTGGGATTTCGGTTTGAGTAACTAGTATGATGATCGTGTCCTTTAGTGAGACGTGTAAGACTGGAGGAGGGATACCTTTAGTAAGAAAAATCAAGATTTTCATCTTGAACTCTATGAGTGAAAGGGCTTTTTCTACTTTTCTTTCTTCATTTAAAAGTTGCAAAGAATTTAGAGGTAAGAAAGCATTTAAATATTCAACTTTGTGAGTTCCTTATATTTTAAACTAAGTTGGGGAAGTTGAATTTTCATTTGTTTAACAAATATTAATTGAGCAGCTACTATATGTCAAGGTCTATGTGATGAGATACTAAGATTAGCTCAACAATCAAGATCTCTGTTCTCAGGATTTTTTTTTATGGAAGGGAGGAGACAGGATTGGTGGGTTTTTGGTTTTTGGGTTTTCTCCTTTTCGTTGTCTTACTAAAACTTAACACTTAAGTAGCCATCTTAGTAATTACATCTTGTGCTCCTGGCAGTTGGGCCCACCGTTCTAAACGCTGTCGTAAATATTGACATCTCCCCTCCCACTAAAACTAACGTTTTTTAAATAAAAAATTTTAGCAAACATTACGAATACAACCTTTGCTTTGAAGTGTTAATATTTTTGCAGGAATGTACCTTTGTAAAGATCGTGGTTGCCCCGTACATATTTGTTCTTTCTTCATATCCAATTAAATGAAAACACTAGTTTTTCCGAAGCCCAACTCTCTAGGTTTGTTGGTTCTAGCTCAGGAGAAAGGATGGAAGCAGGAGTCGTTGGATTTAAACAGTTTGGTGTAATCCTTTTCCACGCTCTCTCCCGCTAGCCGGGGACTTGGTGTCGGCTACCCGGGGCTTTCCGTCCACGCAGTACCGGAATGAAGGAGTCTGGGAGGGGGTCGGGGACGGAAAAGACGGAAGAGACATTAAGTAATTGGTTCTTGAAGGTATAAAATGATGTTTAGGGTCTACTCTAAGGCACTGATTTCAAACGCCCGCCCCCTGGGCCGTTTCGGCCCCGCCCCTTAGTGCCGTTACGCCGACTTCCACTTCGGCCACTGCGGATTGGTCGTTGCTTCCGCCCCCGAAGCGCTTGGATTTTGCTTCCGGGTCTTAGGCGCTAGCCCTGGGCGCAGAGGTTTCTGGGAGTGCGGAGTCGTAATGGCGTCTGTATGATCTTCGGAGATTGCTGCATCGGACCTCGGCCAGTGTGAGCGGCAGGAGGATAGGTTATCTTCCTCACCCCGGTGGGACGGGAAAGGGCAGTTGGGGTCGGAGTCGGCGGCAGAGTGCAGAGTGCAGAGTGCCGGCGGTGGAGGACCTAGAGCAGCGGGCTAGGGGCGAAACGGAGTGCCTGTCAGGCGCGTCCGGAGCTCTCGGGCCCGCAGAGGAGATCGCAGCATAAAGGCAGCGCGCCTACCGCGTAAAGCGAACCCCAGGTCCTCCTTTCACTACCCCTCGCACCCCTGCGGCGCTGGGCACGGGTTAAGGGGCAACAAGTTTCTGGTTATAGCCAAAGACTAGCTCACAAGAGGCCGGAGTGATAATTCCGTTAGTGTGTGGGAAGGGGCGGACCCCCAGCTCCAGATAACCCCGTTTCTTCTTTGTATACATGTCTCTTACTCTTTTTGAAAATTAGGAGAAAGCACTCCCCCCCAAAAAAAATCCTCCCAGTTCGCCCACCCTCCCCACACACTTGCTTTTCCGACACTAACAGGGTTTTAATGACTACATCTGCTAGACAGTATTCTTGTGACTGCTCCAAGCAGAAAGTAACTTAAGGAATGGGTCCCTGATTTTTGTCATCAGAATCCTCTGGGGGTGAGGTTCCTGGTTTTTTTTTTTTTTTTTTAACAGTCCTTAAATTATAACCCACAAACGATCTGATTTATAATATGATGCCTGTTGTAGGAGAAAATTGGCTCAACAAAAGGTTAAGAATTTTTTTCTATGTACCTGTCATTGAAGTTTAACACACTTTCCTTAGTAACGTTTTTCTCAGACACTTAGTAACTTTGTCAGTGATATTTTTTGTTTGTTTTTAGCTTTTGTTTCTACTAGCCTATTTGCTATTGTGTGAAGTTTAGATAAAATGCAAACCTTAGAGAGTCTGGTAGAGTAAGGTTGAGTTGGAAATTTTTAAAACTTAGTCATGGTAGTACTGTATTTTTCAAGGCTTTTGACATGTCAAGTGTCATAATTCTTATAGTAATCCTATGAGGAATATCTCCATTCCACAGATGACAGAAAGTTAAGCCAGGTGACTTGCTCAAGCCCATATAGTCAGAAGGAGAATAGGGATGCAAACTCATCTTCATGACAGAATTTTTTTGTACTAAGACAAGCCTGAGAAGCCATATTCGTTGTACGGCCTAAGCCTCATAATTTGTTTTCCTGAAAACTTTTGTTTAAGAAGATTAAGCAGGTTTAGGGGAATGAGTTTTAGAATTTATTTCACTAGTATGGATATTAATACTCTGTAAAATGAGTGTTTGTATTGTTGGAAATAACTTGATTATATTTTTCTTCAAAGCATAAAAGATGACAACAGCAGCCAGGCCAACCTTTGAACCTGCAAGAGGTGGAAGGGGAAAAGGAGAAGGTGATTTGAGCCAACTTTCAAAGCAGTATTCAAGCAGAGACCTACCCTCTCACACAAAGATAAAATACAGGTAGTAAGACTTTCTTTTTTTTCTTGTTCACAAAACAAGACCAAATCTGTTAAATGGCATGGTCATGATATAGTAGTATGTTCGAGTTATGTCACTTATCTATTATCATAGGATTAGAATGCAGTAGGATGTTTAACACTAAAATTCTGCCCTGTGGTTTTAAAATGCAAAATTCCTACTAACCAGAAATTTTCATATGTAGATACAACAATAAATAACAGAAATAATAATGCCTCAGAGAGATTATGCACTATCAGCACCAGTTAATATATTAAAAGTATTACTGTTAAGTTCTGAGTTGATAATACCAATAAAAATTAAAGACATTTTAATCACTGTAAAGCCTTATTATAGGAAAATGCGTGATTGAATTTGGACTTCTTGAAATATTGGGAACATCACAAGAGTGGCTATTAGTAACTTTCAGATTAGATTATGATCTTATCTACTTCCCTTTTTTATGCCTCAAGGACAAAGTCTCATTCCTGAATTGTCTTCCATTACCACAGTCGTGTGTGTGTATGTGTGTGTGTGTTTAAGTAACATTTTTGCCCTGGTTTGTTTCTACTTTAGACAAACTACTCAGGATGCCCCTGAAGAGGTTCGTAACCGTGACTTCAGGAGAGAGTTGGAAGAAAGAGAGAGAGCTGCTGCAAGAGAGAAAAACAGAGATCGTCCAACCCGAGGTACCAACACTATCCAAGACATTTATCTCTAAAATTATGTTGTTGATAGTTTTTCTTTTATGTAGCAACTGGAAAATATTAACCATTTGTTTGCTTTTACAGATTGATGTGAGCTGTAATACTTTCTTAAGTCATTAGAGATAACAATAACAAATATTTACCAAAGGCTTATTTGCCCAGGCACTGTGGATGTGATTTCACTGTGGATAATGCTTTCAGTGTGGGCTCCTCGTGCCCACAGGTCCCTAAAACATTTTAAGAAATGCAGTATTTGTTTTACTAAGTTAAGTGATTTTTGTTTCCCCTCAGAACATACAACCTCCTCTTCAGTGTCAAAAAAGCCACGGTTAGACCAGATTCCTGCTGCCAACCTTGATGCAGATGACCCTCTAACAGATGTATGTTTTGTTTTCTCCTTTCATCTCTAATAATTGATTTACCATGTTTTTCTGAAATACTTGTTATGCCTTTGGCTTTAACAAGTGACATATATTTGCTTGCTGTTATTCAAATATAACCCTGACCGCAGTGCTAAACTTTATAGTTGATTTTAAAACAAAAAGTATTATTTTGTGGGACTTTTAAGAACAAGTTTGGTCTCTAGAGAACCAAATATGGAAGGAATCTTAAAAGACGTGCTTTCCCGCAAAATAATGTCCTGTACTAAACTACTGCACTATGGTGTGTTACACACCTCTACAGGGCACTCTTCACACTGGGTTTCCTATAAACAGTGCCCTCTAGAGTTGTACCTGGAGGCCTTTCCACATTAGATATGCCCCTTTCTATAAGTGGAGTACACTTAATGGTTCCCTCTGTGCTTAGTGAGGGAAGTAATCTAAGCAGAAGGTTTTTAAGGATTAGCACATCAGTTAATGATAAAATTCTGTGGGACCCTAGAGCCTATAATCAGTTTGCAGTTTTCTACATACAGGACAGTGAAAAACCTGAGTGGCATCCAATGAGTAATATCTACCTGTGTATACATATCAGCAGTTAATTCTAGAGTTAAATGATGGAGTTACTCATAATAGTTAAAACAAGAAACCTAATTTCAAGTGAAATTTAATGATTATTCATTTGAAATTATTTTCTTCTGAGAAATTAGCAGGTTTTTGCACTTTTGATTACCTTTACTTGCTAGCTTAAAGTTGTTTTGAGCTACATAAAATTGTTTTGACTTTCTTAGGGTGATATATTGTACATATGTACTGTGTTTTGGTAATGTATATTTTCCCTCCAATCTTCTGGGCTCTCACTGTTCTTTTAGGAAGAAGATGAAGATTTTGAAGAAGAAAGTGATGATGATGATACTGCAGCTCTTCTTGCAGAGCTGGAAAAAATTAAAAAGGAAAGAGCTGAAGAGCAGGCCAGGAAGGTAAAACCAAAGTGTTAAATATTTACATCTCTCTTCTCACATATACTAAAGTAGAAATTTTTTTGAATATAAGTAATACCTTCTTATATTAGAAATCTCCCTTACTGTGTCTAAATATTATAGCACTTGTAGATCTATGAATCTTATTATTTTTGTGACATCCTAGGTATCCTGGTTATGTTAAAAATTCTTTCCAAATAGTTCAGATACATTGAGTAATATTCACCAGCTTGCTAGTCATTCACTAGTTTATTCTTTTGTTCAACATTTAGTCAATATCTGTTAATTGACAGGAGAATCAAAGATGATCAAGATACAGTCATGGTCTACAAAGATTATCTCTCTGTCTCCTGCCTAGGTACTATTAAGGCAATTAGTCAGTAGATATTATATAACCTAGGTCAAGCTACCTAACTTCGCTGAGCCCCCACAGTCTCTCCGTTTACACATATGAGGAAAAAATATAAAACTCAAAGATAGTTAAAACTCTGAATGAATTACCCAGAGTGATAATAAGAGGTGAAACTGAGGAGGCAAGCACAAGTCAGAGCATTAGAGATTTGCAAAACAATGCTGAAGGATTCTAGATTTTTTTCTAAAGGACATGAGGAGCTGGTTGATTTAAGCAGGAGATTGATAAAATTGGATATGCATTTTAGAGAGATTACTCTGGCAAAAATACGCAGGATGGATTGGAAAAAAACTGAGTGAGGAGGCTGTTTCAGTAATCTTACCAATTAAGAGACTCTTAACTTGTATGATAGGAGTTGGAATTAAGATATGTAATTAGATGCTGATAGAACTGATTATCAAGGAGGTCAAAGTGGGAAGGGGAGCAGGAAAAAATAAAAAATAAAGGAGGTAGAGTTGACAAAGTGACTGATTGATTGTGGCAGCAGAGAGGACCCTCACTTTGTAGGTAAATGTTGGTGCTGTACATCAATACAGGGAATGCAAAAGAATTGCCATATTTATACAGAGAGAAGAGGTAGTTGATGAGATCTGTTTTGAACATACTGAATTTGACACATTATAAGACATTCAGGTAGGGATGTTTTCAACCAGAGCAGCACAGCTTTTTTGTAGATTTCTGTGTAAAATTTTATTTGATGCAAGAATTGTTCTGTTTTTAAAAAAGAAAGTAAGAAAATATACTACATGGTCAATACCAGGAATCTAGGGAAGTGAGTTCATGTGAATCAGGAGGGCCAGGGAAGAATTCAGAAAAGAGGTAGAATTTGGGATGGACTTTGATGACTTAGAATTCAGATTGGAAGAAGGAAGGCATTTTAAAATACAATT